GAAGCCAGGAGACAAACTCCTAACTCTCTCCCATCCGTGCAACAACTGGTCCACAAACCTGCATGGAGTGACTTTTAGGGGCTCTTGCTGACGGAAGCCTAGAAGAAACAGTTCTACTTCCCTGGTGAGGATGATGTCCACTCTGTAACAGCTTCAAACTCCCAGGGTGGAGCCTCCCTGAGAACCTGCCCAGCCTCGTGCTATTTCTTTCATCTCTGACCTCCTGGCCACTGACACCATTTGCTTCCCTGGCCCACCTGCCTCTCCCCAGCCTGTACCTCCTCAAATGTTTTGTAGTGCTCCTTGACCATCTTCTGTGTGAAGACAGAGAACTTCCTAGTCAGTTCCTTGAAGTTATCCATGGCAGAGTTGGGCAGGTACTGGAGAACGGGGATGAAGTCAGCTGGGTTTCCAGAGGCAGTCACCTCCCCAAACTCATTATTTAGGTCAACTAAATCAAGCAGCTCTTGGTTGTCATGGTCATAGCGCTGCCCAAAGCACATGGCACAGATGACATTGGTCACTGAGACCACCACATATCTGTAGGGGTCAAAGTGCCCAGGGCCTGCCATGAGCTCCTGGAACTTGTTGATTAGGTATTCAGCCTCCTTCCTCACATGCTCCTCCAAGTAGCAGGAGGATGACGAGGCCGGGTCTGAGGCCACTGAGAAACTCTTCAGGGCGTCCTGTGCCAGGCGCCGGCGGGCAGCCCACACGGGGCCTGAATCTGGATTGAAGGTCATGCTCTGGCCATCAGAGATCAAGGTGAAGCTGTAGAGGTCGGGCCGGCCCTTGAAGTCGTCAGCCTGCCGCACCAGGGCTTGGCGGATGGTGTCCAGGCCGCTCAGCACCACCACAGGCGTGGAGCCGATGCGGATCTGCATCACATCCCCATAGCGCTCACTCAGCCTGGCCAGCGACAGGTGCGGGTTCTTGCCCAGAGTCAAAGCGTGCCCGATCAGCGGCCAGCCCCAGGGTCCCGGGGGTCTCTTCAGCCCTTTGGGAACCTGAGGCCTGGAAGCTCTGACTACCCAGAGCACCAGGCAGAAGATAGTGGCAGCCAGGAGCAGCTCCATGGCCGGGATGGACATCCGGAGTTCAGACACAGAAAACATGGTTAGTGTCAGGATCTTTGAGGCAGCTGCTGAGAGGTGGGACAAGAAAACAAAAATGAGACCATCAGATGGAGGACAAGAGGAGCCAATATCGTAAAAGGTCAGGATGTTGGTCAAGGAAAGAAGAAACTTCCCAGCCAGAACTGCTCAAGGACAACAGGGAGAGGAGGAGGGAGCAGAATTTGTTGAGCTGCCAGTGTGTTCCAAGAATTTCAGC